TTTGAATCATTTGGGATATCTCATACCCCCACACCTTCATTCCTACCTGTCATTCACCAGACATTCCTGCATTTGAATAGTAAGAATGAAGTGCTCCATGCAAGCAGGATGCTGGCTGGATTAAGCATTGACTGTGAGGAGCTCATGTGTAGTAGGAAAGGCAGACAGCTGACAAGCACCAAAGCTCTGGAGTGTGAGTCCCCCTCTAAGATGCAGCAACAGCCTGAGGACAGGAACTATACCCTTTATCTGCCTCCAGAGTTCTCATCCTAGGATGAGGACGGTATGTGGTCTTCAGTACATACACAGGATGATGTGTAAATTCAGAAAAGTTGGTAGACTTTTGATGAGCTGCCTTCCAAGATCTCTTTCCATGGTCTAATTTACACAGAATATCTTTTTTTTTTTTTTTGAGATGGAGTTTCACTCTGTCACCTAGGCTAGAATACAGTGGCACAATCTTGGCTCACTGCAACCTCCACCTCCAGGGTTCAAATGATTCTCCTGCCTCAGCCTCCCGAGTAGCTGGGTTTAGAGGAGCCTGTCACCATGCCCAGCTAATTTTTGTATTTTTTAGTAGAAACAGAGTTTCACCGTGTTGGCCAGACTGGTCTTGAACTATTGACCTCAAGTGTTCCTCCCATCTTGCAAATTTTATATTTTTAGTAGAGACAGGGTTTCACCATGTTGTCTGTAGATGATATGACCTTATATATGGGAAAAATCTAAAGACTCTACCAAAGAACTATTAGAACTAATAAGCAAATTAAGTAAAGTCGCAGGATACAAAATCAACATACAAAAATCTAGTATTTCTATATGTCAAGAGCAAATAATTCAAAAAAGAAATCACATTTATAATAGCTACAAATAAAATTAAATACCTAGGAATTAACAAAAAAAAAGTGAAAGATCTGTACAATGAAGACTATAAAACATTGGTAAAAAAATTGAAAAGGACACAAGAAATAGAAAGATACTCTATGATTATGGATTGGAAGAATCGATATTGTCAAAATGTCCATACTACCCAATGCGATCTGTCAACATTTCTTCACAGAATAGAAAAAATAATCCTAAAATTTATGTGGAACTACAAATGACCAAGACTAGCCAAAGCCATCTGAGGAAAAAAAAACACTGGAGGAATCACATTACCTTCAAATTATACTACAGAGATATAGTAATCAATACAGCATAGTTTTGGCATAAAAACATAGACACATAGACCTAGAAGAGAGAACCTAGAAACAAATCAATACACATATAGTGATTGATTGAGTAGTAATTGCCTTTAGGTAGTCTTCTTTAAATCTGCTTGGATATTGATATATTTCTTTAGGTTCGTGAGGTTCTCTGTTATTATTTATTTGAATGAGCTTCATACCCCAATCTCTTTTTCTACTTGTCTCTATGCCCAATAACTCTTAGATTTGCCCTTTTGAGGCTATTTTCTAGATCTTGTAGGTATGCATTATTGTTTTTTATTCTTTTTTCTTCTGTGTCCTCTGAATATATTTTTAAAGTAGTGTGTCTTCAAGTTCACTAATTCTTTATCCTGCTTGATTAATTCTGCTGTTAAGAGACTCAATGCATTTTTCAGTATGTCACTTGTATTTTTCAGCTCCAGAATTTCTGCTTGATTCTTTTTAATTGTTTCAATCTTTGTTAAATTTATCTGACAGAATTTTGAATTCCTCCTCTGTGTCACCTTGAATTTCTTTGGGTTTCCTCAACACAGTTATTTTGAGTTCTCTGTCAGAAAAGTCATATATCTCTGTGTCTCCAGGATTGGGCCCTGCCACTTTATTTAGTTCTTTTGGTGAGATCATGTAGTTTTTTTTGTTTTTTCTTGGATGTTTGTGGATGCTCATCAGTGTCTGGGCATTGAACAATTAGGGATTTCTTTTTTTTTTTTTTTTTTTTGAGACGGAGTCTTGCCCTGTTGCCAGGCTGAAGCACAGTGGCGCAGTCACAGCTCACTGCAACATCTGCCTCCCAGGTTCAAGCGATTCTTCCGCCTCAGCCTCCCAAGTAGCCAGGACTACAGGCGCATGCCAAAAACCCAGCTAATTTTTGTATTTTTAGTAGAGATGAGATTTCACTAAAACTTTAACGCTGGCCAGGATGGTCTCAATCTCTTGACCTCGTGATCCACCCACCGTGGCCTCCCAAACTGCTGGGATTACAGGTGTGACAATTAAGTATTTCTTACAGTCTTTACAGTCTGTGCTTCTTGGTACCCATTCTTCTTGGGAAGGCTTTTCAGTTATTCCAAGGGACTTGTGTGTTGTCATCTAAGCCATATCTACATTAGAGGGCACCCCAAGCCCAGTCATGCTATGGTTCTTGTAGACTCAGAGGTATCACCTTGGTGGTCTTAGATAAGATCTGGAAGAATTCTCTGGATTTCCAGGCAGAGACTTTTGTTACCTCAAACAAAAGTTTCCCTCTCTGTGCTGACCCACTTGAAACTGGGGTAGAGTGACACAAGCACCCTTGTGGCCATCAGCACTAGGACTCTGCTGGGTCAGACCTGAAGCCAGCACAGCACTGGGTCCTACCCAAGGCCTGCTGTAACCACTACCTAGCTACCTCCTACCTTTGCTCAAGGCCCTAAGGCTCTATAATCAACAAGTGCCAAAGCCGGTCAGGCAGTGTCCTTCCCTTCAGGGCAACAAGTAATTGGGTTAAACAGAGGGAAACAGTTCCTCCTCATAACCATGAATCTGTTATGGTTCAAGGCGGGAGCTAGGGACTGAAGGCAAAAACCAGAGAGATCTACCTGGTGCTCCATTCTACTGGAGCTGAGCTGTCACTCAAACCGTAAGACAAGGTCATTTCCATTCTTCCCTCCCCTTTTCCCCAAGCAGAGGATCCTCTCCCTATCGCCATTACTACCACAGGCCCACGGGGAGTGCTGCCAGGCTACTGCCGACGTTCACTTAAGGCCCAAGGGGGTCCTCAGGCAGCTTGTGGTAAATGCTGCCAGGCCTAGGACACATCCTTCAGGACAGTGGACTCACCTGTGGTCAGTGCAAGTCCAGAAATGCCACTCAAGAGCCAAGGCCTGGAATTAGGAACCCCAAGAGCTCGCTTGGCGTTCTTTCCCACTGTGGCTGAGCTGGTACCTAAGGTGCAAGACAAAGTCCACTTTACTCTTCCCTCCGCTTTTCTCAAGTAGAAGCTCTCCCCATAGCCACCACGGCTAGGAAAGTGCTGGGTCTTAGGAAAGCCAGCGCATCTCAAGAGTCTCACCCGAGGCCCACAGCATACTACCTGGGTATTGCTGCTGGTTATTCAGGGCCCAAGGGCTCTCTACTCAGCAGATGATGGGTCTTGCCAGGACTTGGTTCTTCCCTTCAAGACAGTGTAGCCCCTTCTGGCCCAGGGTGTGTCCATAAATGTCATCTAGGAGCTAGGACCTGGAATGGGGGCCTCATGACTCTGCCTGGTGCCCTATCCTAATGTAACTGAGCTGGTATCCTCCATGCAAGACAAAGTCCTCTTTACTCTTCCCTCTCTTTTCCTCAAGCACAAGGAAGGAGTCACTTGCATTGCCGTGAGCTGTGCTGCCTGAGTTTTTGGAACACATGACACAGGTTCACCTGTAGCCACTCTAGTGTCTCAGTAGATCAGGCGCCCCCCTCCCAGGTCCCCTGGCTCTGGCCCCAGCACAGCACTGATGTCTTGCTTAGGAACTGCAGTGCTTGTGGCCTAGGCTACTCTTCCAGTTCATTAGGATTGCAGAGCACTTTAGCCCATGGTAGCAAGCTTGCCAAAACTCAAGTTCCCACTGCTGGAATGTATAATTCCCCTCTGGCTAGAGCTAGTACAAATGCTCCCTCTGTGTGTGCATAGGCAGGGGGTTCGTGGCTTCGCTGACTTCAGCCTGATTTTGCTTTCTGCTGTTGTGATAGGGCAGCACAGAGTTCTGACGCAAAGTCCCACAATCACTGCACTCTCCCTCCCCCAACACACACACACAGATTCTCTCTCCACATCATTCAGCCACTGCCGAGGAATGGGCATCAGCAGTTCAAGGTTGTCTTTCCTACCCTCTTTAGTGCCTCTTTCAGCAATACGAAGTTAAAACCAGGCACTGTGACTACATATCTGATTTTTGGTTCTTATAAAGGTGCTTGATTGTGTAGATGATAAATGCTAAATTTGGTGTTCCAAACTTGTAAAATTTGGCTCTGATGAAGAAAAGATCAGTGGAGGCTTCTGTTTGGGCATCTTGTTCTGCCCCTCTCCAAAAGCATTCTCTTACATAACCCCAGTACAATGTTCAAAAGCAGGTAATTAACATCAAGGTAATACCATTACTTAATCTACAGACCTTATTCCAGTTTCACCAATTATGCCAATAATGACCTTTTAGCAAGAAGGACATGCAGTGCATCAGTTGTCATGTCTCTTAAATCTCCCTGAATTTGGAATAGTTCTGTCTTTCTTCGCTGTTTCATAACATTACATTGTTTTAAAAGTCCAGGCCAGTTGCTTTGCAGAATATCCCTCGTGTTTCAACTCCGAGCATGCTCTTTTGTCAGGAAATCACAGAGGTGAGGTAGTGTTCTCAGTGCATCCTATCATGAGCCACATGCTATTGATTAATCTCATTTTGGCACTATTACCGTTGATTACTTGGTTAAGGTGCTGTATGCCAGGTTTCTCCAATGTAAGGATACTATTTCATCCTTAATCGTGTAGGAGGGAAGTTACGTTGAGACTAAATATCCTGTCCTCCTCACAACGTCATCCACTAGTCCTACCATCCATTGATTCTTCTTACCAACATCAATTACTATTATGAATGGCTGTCAAAGGGTGATTTTTCTAGGTCCAGTACTTCTCATATGTTTGTTAGCTGGTTTTCTACTTTCGGTAGCGCATTCCCTTTCCCTTTATGTATCTTAGTGTGGACTCAAAAGTCCTTGTTTTATTCGTGGGCTATAATGCTATATATTAGTAATTATTTTAACACTCTAGTTGTTCCACATTCAGACAGTAAAACTTCTACAAGTGGGTTCCTGTGTTCTTTTGGAATGTCCCTGTCATTCTTCAATGCTATCACTATTTAAAGGCAGCTCTTTCCAGATGGACTGAGTCTATTCCACATGGCTTTGACTTCTGAATGAATACTCAGTCAATTTCTCTGCCTGGTTAGGAAACTCCTGGGCTCCCCCAGACTTCCCCCTTCCCCCACTTCCATTGCTACCCTCCTGGCATGAAGGCTTCACCAATGACTGACATGACATTCGCATGGCCTTCAAATACCAGACAGAGTCAGGCCCCCGGGGCTGCAGGAGCAGGCCGTGGCAGCAATGGGGGGACTCAGCCATCCTCATGGTGTTTGTTTTTCCCCTGTGTAAACCGAGCAGTGGTTGTGAAGGATTTGCCCTTTGCTTGCCTGTTGCTTTTTTATACACCAAAGAGAAAGCAAATTTTGATTTTGTTCCGTAATAAAGGGCACCCAACAACTGAATTCTTACCTTTAAGCTAGCTGTCGCCAAAAGGGACAAGGAAGAGAGCTGGTAGACTGTTCCTTTTGAACCCACTCTTACATCAAAAGAGCGTATTTTTTTCCTTGCCGTGTATCACCTGGCAGACCTCGACGGCGTCCTTGTTGTCCCTGGACTTAGGAGAAGTCCTTGCTAAAAGCAAGATGTAGAAGTGGGAGTGACCTATGAAAAAAGAAATGAGTTAAATTTGATATGACACATCATATAAGGAAGAATAATTGTTGGCACAAGCATGCAGAGGTTGGGTGTAAGTACGTTAGTCCCCACCCTCTTCGTCAGCAGTCACACAGCCTTGGACATTAGAGCCCTGTCCGTCTGATCTAGAGAAGGAATGTTGCTGGGGAAGGGAAACCCAGGGCGAGGTGAGAGAGGACAGAACCTCTAACCAGGAAGAAGCTGTCCCTGCCAAGCTCCAGAGAGGCGCAGAAGCATGGCCCTCAGGTATGGGAACTGGTCTACAGGAAACCCTTGTGGTGTGCCCTAATGGGAGGCCCACTGGGGAGGAACCAAACTGCAAACCTGATTCTGAAAGAGGAGACCACCACAGCGTCCTTTGTAATTGCACAGCTTGCAAGGACGGGATAGATCCTGTGGTTTTCCTGGGGAAGGAGGGGAGCCTAAAGGCCACGAATGATGTGGACTTCTTTAAGGAGCAGGGAAGGGGTAGCTTTAGAGTGGGGCTGTTAAATGTCAGCAGTCACTTCATTCAGCGCAGCCTGCTCCTGTGGTCTTGGTCGTAGCAGCAGAAGGCGGGGTCGAGGTGCCCCGGGATCAATCTTGGTCAGCCTCTGAGGAGGCGGGAGTGCAGGGCTGGATGTGCCTGCCTGCTTTTCCTCACTTTCTTGCCTTCCTTGTCTTTCCTCCCTCCTTTCTTTCCTCCCATCTTTCTTCCATTCCGCCTGTCTTTCTTTCTTTCCTCCTTTCTTTCACCTTCCCCTTGTATACCTCTTGAATTCACCATCGTAAAGTTGGCCTGAGATTTTCAATGAGTAATGTTTTATGATTGCTTCGGTTACATTATTACAACCCAGTCTGCCTTCCTTGTTTCTCCAACATTTCTAAGCCCTTTTCTCCTTTTCTTTGGCTTGTTTTGTTTTCTACTACCTATCCTTCTGACTAGTTGTTGTTTGTTGGTTCGTTTGCTTTTAAAGAGTCCAAGATAAACAAACTATTGCAGGCATGAAAAGCATCAGGATTTCAGAGCGGATTGTGGAGGAGGGTCAGGAGAGGAGGGGAGAGGAGACGTACTGAGGTAGGGAGGAGGTGCGTGTGCTGCCTCTCACCGTCCTATTTATCCACCTGATCTATGAATTACCAGCAGAAAATGAAAGTAAAGAAGGAGTAGAGGCTGGGGACGAAATCCTGGGCTTTAGACATGGGGTAGTTTAAGAGTGTCCTGAAAGGTAATGTCACGCACGTGTGCACAGTTCCATAGGGGGAGTGATTTTTCTCTCCGTGGTTTCTATCTTTCAACTGGTTTCAGAGTTGATAGAAATATACCATTTGGCCCTTATTCCAGAAACACGTGCTACTTAATATTGTTAATACTCTTGTTTGTATGCGTAGGTCCTGGCAATTAGATTACATCTTTCTTGGGTACTAGACCTCCATCTTTTTTTTTTTTTTGGCACGGGTGTTGTGCTTTAATATGCTTTATCCAATCAGGGGTAGGTAAGACACCCCTGGTCTATGCTTATTATGAATATTTGTTCACATAACCCCCAGCACCACCATATGGTAGGAATACTATTATGCCCATTTACAGATCAAGTGGCTGAGGCCCAAAGCCCCAGAGTATCAGGGTTTTCTGTCTCCTGAGCCCATCGTCGTAACACCTGGGTGACATTGCTGGCACAAACTGGAAATGTCTTGACTGATTTCAGACAGACAAGGTTCGCGAGTAGTGCTTTCATTTTTAATCTATAGCTATTAAATAGTTCATTCATTCCACATGTATTGACTGCCTGCTGCGTACCAGCTGCTGAGGATTAGACTTGAAGAAGGGTGGAAAAGATGGGTCACGAACAAATAAACAGATGACAGAATGTCCTGTGGTGACACGTGCTAGGATGCAAACTGAAGCATGGTAAGGAAAGAAAGGGTGGCAGGAGATGCAGGGCTGGCCCAAGGGACTCCTCCACATTCCACGAGTCCTCCCAGGAAGAGCTGGAAGGACAAGGGATTTGGTCCTCAAGCATGAAATGATTTGGGGCTGTTACTAGTTTTCTGTGCTGCTGGAACAAATTACTACAAACTCAAGGGTTTCAAACAATGGAAGTTTATTCTCTCTAGTTCTAGAGATGAGAAGTCTGAAACTGGTATCAGTGGGATTGATAGAGGGGTGGGTATCAGGGATCAAGGTGTCACCAAGGCCACACTCTTTCCAGAGGCTCCAGGGGTGAATCTGGTCCTTGCTTCTTCCAGCTCAGAGGGATAGACGGGGGGCTGCCAGTGCTCCTTGGTTTGTGGCCTCCTTGTTCCAATCTCTGCCTTTTTGGTCACATTGCCTCTTCCATCGATGATCAAATGTCCTTCTGCCTCCCTCTCATAAGCATTTATTTAATTGTATTTAGAGTTTAGTTTATCACCCAGATAAACCAGGCAAACTGTACCATCTCAAAACCCTACACTTAATCATCTCTGCAAACACTTTTAATTTAGGGGCTGGGGCAGCATATAAGATATTATTTACAGGTTCTAGGGATTAGGATGTGGGTATCTTTGGGGGCCATTTTTCAGCCTACCATAGGGAGTTATTTGTGTATTTTATTTTTTTAAAGTAAATCTAGTCCCTTTTAACTGACCAGCCATTCTATACTTCTTAAAAAGCACCAATCCTGTTTGCTATGGGCAAAAGCTTATGAAGTAGCATCCGTGGGAATTCATCCATGATTGAAAGAAGGAAGGAGGAACAACAGGGGAGACAGCAACACAGCCAGTGATGAATGACCTCTCCTTCTAGTGCATGTGTGTCATGGAGACAGAGGGACCTGGGGATGCAGATTCTGCTTTGGCTTGTCTTTTTAAAGGCTGTAGCCTGGGCACAGTGGCTCATGCCTGTAATCCCAGCACTTTGGGAGGCCAAGGCAGGCAGATCACTTGAGGTCAGGAGTTTGAGACCAGCCTGGACAACATGGCAAAAACCTGTCTTTACTAAAAATACAAAGATTAGCCAGGCACAGTGGTACCCACCTGTAATCCCAGCTACTTGGGAGGCTGAGGCAGGAGAACTGCTTAAATCTGGGAGATGGAGGTTGCAGTGAGCCGAGATTGTGCCACTGCACTCCAGCCAGGGTGACAGAGTAAGACTGTAATAATAAAAATAAAAATAAAGGCTGTAGATATTAGAAATGAAGAATGATTTAGAGATGCTTCCACACTGACTTTTAGGATGTTCTGAGGAAAGAAGAGGCCAACATGGTCAGTCTTATAAGAGAAGATTTTGTTCCAATGGAAATGATCCAGTATGGGGAGGGGTCAGGGAACGGTGAGCAGGTGGGAAATGAGGAAATGAGTCCACCTTCTGCAAGGAAGCCCAAGGGGGCATGTCTTTTCTTTCTTTCTTTTTTTTCTTTTTTGACAGAGTCTCACTCTTTGCCCAGGCTGGAGTGCAGTGGCACGATCTTGGCTCACTGCAGCCTTCACCTCCTGGGTTCAAGCAGTTCTGCCTCAGCCTCCTGAGTAGCTGGGATTACAGAAGCATGCCACCACACCTTAGTAGAGACACAGTTTCGCCATGTTGGCCAGGATGGTCTCCATCTCCTGAACTTGTGATCTGCCCACCTCAGCCTCCCAAAGTTCTGGGATTATAGGCTTGAACCACTGGCCGGGGGGCATGTCTTTGAGCTGCAAGAGAACAGCATCCATGAATCACAGCTGAGATTGGCCAGCAGCAGGAAATGCAAGACAGGATCAATTTAGGGTGGTTGAAGCCTGTGCGATGACTTAGGCTATCACGTTTCTCAGGGTCTGAATCATGGGACACAATCGATCCGCCACCTTATTCCAGCATCCTTTAACCTTCGAGGAGCAGATGCCCTGGCACGGAGTCCACTCAAAATCTCCTCCTGCTCCTGCTGCTGCTGCACAGGGGCTGTGCCCTGGCCAGGTGCCTGTGTCCTCTGTAGAAGGCAACAGATTAGAAAACGGCAGAAGGTCCTTGCCTATGTAGCGTGCTTCTACCTTCTGCTCCTCATCTGTCAAATGGGATGAAACACATAACTCCAGGTTTGGGAGAAAGGTCTGACACAGAGGCAAATGTCAGTGAACGTCTGAGGACTCTGACACACTGATGGAGATGGGGTGTTCCCGATAACCAGCACCCTCTCTGAACATTCTGCCAAAATGTGTGACTCTATGAATACATTTTGATCTCTAGGGAAAAAAAAACAAGGCAAACTTAATTCCTACCAAAGTATCACTCACTGTGTTCTCTACCTTTTACGCTTTCTTTTCAGGTGGTAACAGAAAGCAATCCAGATGGGGTGCAGGTGCTGTAAAATAATACAAAGGTAAAGCTGGAGAAATATTACTTCTAAGTGGAGGAAGTTGTGAAGAGCCTGGAGTCACTTTTAAAGACCATGCACGTAAATGCACTGAGTAGTGCATTTATCCAGCTTGAGGCACGGTCAACACTGCCAACACATTAAGAGTTGGAACTGTTATAATATCGTTTAAAAGAACATGTGCCCTAGATTTTGTTAACTTTTTTTGCTCACTTCTCAAAGCATGTTGGGAACACTATAGTTTTCTGAGGCTGAATTTGGTCTGAGTTTCTGCCTGAAATGGCATCGCTGAAAATAAATCACCCCAATCACATATGTGCTTTTAATTCTGTCCACACTGCATTTCATAAAATTGTGAGTGACATGAACATGAACTTCTAAGATGAGGGGGAAGAAATGTCACTGGTGATCTTGCTTTCTTAACAAATAAACTGCCTTTTAATTGTAGCTCTATTCTAGACCCGTACGTAATAAGCTTTATTCACTGTAATCATAACGTGATATTTGTCCTTATTCAAAAAAATGTACCATAAGTATCATTCCTGTGACTTCATACTCCATGTGTATCATTTTAATGATGGCATAATATTCCACTGAGAGGATATACTCCTTATGGCCCTATTAGTGGACATTTGTTTTACTTATTATTTTTTATTTTAAAATTCTATGAACCACTTTGTATTTTACTTTATCTATCGCCTACCCCTCCTTCCTCCTTTTGGCTCTCTTCTTAAGATGTACTTCTGAAAGAACCATTTAAAAAAAAAAAAAAAAAGATGGTCTCACTCTGTCACCCAGGCTGGCATGCAGTGGCACGATTTCAGCTCACTGCAGCATCTGCCTGCCAGGTTCAAGCGATTCTCCTACCTCAGCCTCCCAAGTAGCTGGGATTACAGGTGCCCAACACCACACCCAGCTAATTTTTGTATTTTTAGTAGAGACGGGATTTCACCATGTTGGTCAGGCTGGTCTCGAACTCCTGACTTTAAGTGATCCACCCACCTTGGCCACCCAAATTGCTGAGATCACAGGCATGAGCCATCGAACATTTTTATACCAACTGTATCTATTTGATTTAGACACACTTATCTAGGTTGAAAAGAGTAACTATCACAGAAATTAAATTAGCAGGAATCAGAGAGAGAAGCAGGGTCTGTGGTTGGCAGCATTAATGATGGAACAGACCTGATTGGTTTTCACTGTCCTCCCTGCAGCTATCTCTTTGATCCAGTTCAAGTGCCCTCTCCCGGCTATGTCAATGAAGTCAACAGCTGCAAGCTAGATGAAGATGACACTGTTAAATTAAAAGGCAAGTGGGGCGGTGAAGTCCTGGTGCAGAAAAATGAGCCTCAGAGGCAGGGCTCAAAGAAGACTGATAGCAACAGCAGGACAGCTGATCCACGGGAGCCCTGCTGGCCTCACCAAGGTCCGCTCCCGCAGGGAGATGCTGGAGGGGACCACCATGCCTGCGGTGTCAACGGCATTGGCCCTGCTGCCGCCCCACAGCCCACTGGGAATCCCAGTCCCTCCCAGGATGACAGGGGCTCCTGGGCCAGTACTGCAAATACTATTCCCCCAACTCAACCCTTCCTGGAAGGAGGGGGCACTCAGAAGCAGGACTGTGTGCTGCTGGCCTCAGAAGAGACCCAGGTCATGAGAAACGGAGGCTCCAGAGCGCCTTCTGATGTGGAAAGTTGTGCCTTGGAAGTACAGGAGCATGTCTTCCAGATACCAGCCCCAGATTACCCTCAGCATTGGGGCTCAGCTGGAGGCAACATTGATCATAGTGAAAAGAACCATGTTTCCGAGAACCATACTGAGGAGGAGTCCCTAGAGGGAATTCAGCCCACAGTAGGGGAGCATGGTTTGAATACACCCTTCTCTGTGAGGAGAAGCTGGAACTCATTGAATGAGGGTGTGAAAACAGAAGTTCTAAGCATCTGCTTTAGTGTGAAGGGTCCCGCTCATGTCATGCCTGTGGTTGACTCGGGAAATAGGCAGGAGGATGCACATGGCTCCAACGGAGACGGGGACAGGGAGATTGTGGACGTGGATGCAGCAGTGGCAGAGGCCCTGGCGGCTTTAGAAGCTGCTACTGCAGGAGAAGATTTGGATGAGGCTGATTAGGGAAGGGGATTTGCACAGGGAGGTAAGCAGTGTCATGCTGAGCACGTGGATGCATTTGCTCCCCAGAGGCAGAGCAGGTGATTACGCCAGCATCCGCCAGGGCAGCCTTACAGTTGTTTACATCCGGCACCTGTTCTGATTGCCAGCATCTGTCCCACACTGCTTGTCACGTATCTGGAGTTTCACTCTGTATAGGTGAGCTGTGGGTCATTGTGCCCATATCCACAGAAAAGGCAGAAATTGAACAGCCTGCTTGACAACCCTCAAACGTCTCTGAGCACCTGGTACAGATGTTTATGGGAATACGCTAAGATCTCAACCCTTGATCCCAAAGGCACACAATCACAGAGCATTCCTTTTGACTGTAAATTGTTTCCCTTGTTTTTGAGAGCCAAACACTGTACCCAACCCAGAAAAGGTAACTACTCCACTTAAAGTGCCTCATGTGTCCCCAGAGCATGGCTTAACTAGAGGGACAATCAGCAGGGAACTAATAACCAACCAGTTGTTCCACAGTGGGTTAAGCTCAGCCGTTTTCACAGTAGAGCAGAAGTCCCCAGGAAACAAGGGTTAGTCATTAGCTGAGATGTGATTTTAAAACACCTTGACCTTAACTTTTTTACATTATTCCTTTTAAATCTCCTTTGGGATCGGGGACCCTGGCCAAAACGAGTCTTAAGACTGCTTGTCTCATATTTGGATTTTAAGTTCATGACTTTCAGAACAGCAAAGCCATCTATGGAATGTTTTTATGCCATTCAATGTCTGATTCTAATTAAAATGTAACAACGTATGTGTCTTTCTGTCTTAACTTGAAGGTGGTTCTAATTTTCTCAGACTGTCAGTGACCCTGGGTGTTACTTCCAATGTGAAGAGCTAAGCTAGGCACAGTGGCTCACGTCTGTAATCCCAGCACTTTGGAAGGCTGAGGTGAGAGGATTGCCAAGGCCAGGAATTCAAGGCCAACCTGGGCAACTTAGTGAGACTTCATCTCTTAAAAAAATAAAAAAATAAAGAGCTAGACTACAAAATTATACAAGGAAGGGGGCTTTGGCTTTCTCTCCCTCAAGTTAAACTTTATGCTGTAACTAAATGTCCTGATGTTATCTTAAAGAGCAAAAAGGCCTTTCTGGATTTCAGCCTTCTGATTCCTAGAAACAAAGACAACCGTTCTGACTTAATTCGATGGAGAATGTAAAGGCATTAAGGATGCTCAAAACTATCCAAAAAACAATAAACATGGAAGATGCTTTAGTTTGCTGTTTTGTGACACAGAAGTGAAATCCAACTGAATTTCGTTTGATTTCCAGTTTGGCTATGTGACCTTGGGCATGTTACGTATCCCTTCTCTTTGCCCACCTGTGAAGTGAGAATGATAATTGTATGTGCTTGTAAAGATTAAATGAGATGATGTAAGTGTTTAGCACAGTGCCTGGCACCTTAGGCACTCAGAGGTGATGTCTTACTAGTTGAAAACAATTCCTTTAAGAAAAATTTTTACATCCTTACAACTGAAAATTCCAATACTGGGGAGTGTTTACAATGTCATCATTTCATGTTGGTAATGATTTGATATAAAACATGATTTCAGAGCCTTCCAGTGCCTTTAAGGATGGCACCCTTACAAATGCTGACTGAACATCCGTTACCCTCGGTTTGTTTGGTATTATAATGACAAGCTATCACAAGTGACCTCTACATACAGGGTCACTCAGAGCCCTTAAAAAGGTAAACTCTTGGCATTGTTAATTGCATTGGAGGTATGCCTGCCTTTGTATTTACCAGACCAAATACTTAATATTTCAAAATGCTGGTTCCTTCAATAATTTCCTAAGTGTATCAGTTGGGATTATGTTCAGTTGCATAGGATGAGTGTTTTATACACGTAGAGGTTTATTTACCTCTTATGTAAAAGAAATCTGGAGGTAGTGATCCAGGGTGGTGGAGTATGCATGAATGACCCGGTATCAGTGACCCATGCTGCTTCAGTCATTTTGGCTTCCTTCTCAAGGTCACTTTGTAGTCCAAAATGGCTGCTGTGGCTTCAGTCATGACATTTGCATTCTATGTTGGAAAAAGAATATAGGGCCAAACACCCCACTCCCTCTCTGTTAAGGACCTCACAGAAGTGTAATTCATCCCTTCCACATCTACCTCTTTGGTCAAAATCTGGTCACTTGGTCACATGCAGCTACGAGACTAGGAAAGGTGTCTTTCTAGTAGTATGCATGGCTTTGCCACAGAAACTCAGGATGCAGTTGCTGAGAAGGGGAAGTGGACAGTGAGTTTTGAGGAGGTCAGTTTGCAGTCTCTGCTACTGCAGGTCTCACAAGCCTGGGACACAGCTGGTTTGCAAAAGATTGGAAGATTGTACATTCAGTGTGACACCAAAGGGGCCTCTACCTTTGGTCCAGGGAAAGGAGGACTGGACAGCTACCACAACGTGCCACTGATATCTCCAAACCTGACGAAAGCAGAAAATTCCGACAAGGAAGGGACAGGGTAAGGTATCAGGGCAGACAAGTCCCTTTCTCTTACCCAGACACATACTTTCGCATTTACATATGTGTATAATTTTACATTTTAGAATGGCTGCAGAGTTCACCGTAACTGACAACTCTCTAGTTTTAAAGATTCTTTTTTATGAATAACTGCTTCAGAAAGGTCGACAGATGGCCCATAACATCAAGAGTTCTTTAAAAGTAATTCTGGACCCTTTCATCTTCACTCCAATATCCAGGCTCCCCCAAAGGAAATCAGAGGAAAGTAAAAAATCCTTAGGTTGAAAAGGAAGTCCAGCTTTTAGCCTTATCTACCAAACAGCGAGCTGATGTGCGTAGTGTCTTCTTTCTGCAGCTTGGTGCCGCCTCTTGTCAGAAAAGTAAGGTTGAAAATAGCCAAACTTTTCAAACATTGTGGACAGTTTGAAAGCACAGGTGCACTCTGATTGGAAGACACTGACTGTGATTAGGTGCAGACTTCACAGCTCTCCATGAACCTGAGGCAACTGCATCACGTGTGTATTTACCATGTTAAATCCCGATTTTGAATTAAGATTATTTTATGTATATATTACACAGGTTTCTTGAGCTAAGAAGTTAGATTTAACTTTTTTTCTTTTTTTTTGAGATGGAGTTTTGCTCTTGTTGCCCAGGCTGGAGTGCAATGGCACAATCTCAGCTCACCACAACCTCTGCCTCCCGGGTTCAAGCAATTCTCCTGTCTCAGCCTCCTGAGTAACTGGGATTACAGGCACGCGCCACTATGCCCAGCTAATTTTATATTTTTAGTAGAGACAGGGTTTCTCCATGTTGGTCAGGCTGACCTCAAGTGATCCACCCACCTCGGCCTCCCGGAGTGCTGGGATTACAGGCGTGAGCCACCGCACCTGGCAGATTTAACTTCTTACCGGGGGGAAATGAACTATCATATGAGTATGAAATTAAATTTTTTCCTGGTTACCAACAGATGTAGTGAATAGTTATAACTGGAAAAACCAGATACCCAAAAGAATGAAGAGAATTCTAGGTTTCTTACATAGCACGTACGTATCTGTCCACGCTCAGTCAGTGCTGGCATTCATCATTTTCCTCCCTCTGCCCTGCCCTGTCTCACTGATTCTCTGTTCTCTTCCTACCTCTCTCATCCGTACCTCCAAGCAGGAGGCTTAGAATAAATGAGACACCAAATGCAAGAACAACAGCAAAGATCTGACTTCCCTGGTCTGGTCATCTGTGTGCAGCCATGCAGCAGATAGAACAGCCATGACCGCAACACAGGGTGGAGCCTCCTTTCCTGGACTTGGACTTGACTCTGCATCCAGGGCACTCCTTTTCACACAGCCAGTCTTTATGACGAAAATGTAGAAATTGTTGCTTTCTCATTTCATTTTTTTCCCTCTAAACCTCATGCATTTTAAAATCCTCTGTTTTGGAGTTGGTGACAAACACAGACAAGCTGACATCTGTTTTTCATGGTAAATGTTTTCCCTGTTAAGTAATAGAACAGTAGATAGTCCATTTATATATTTACTAAATTTGTAAGTTACTCGTATCAGGTTACAGAAACCACACCTAAGTGGTCTGCTGACTTCTGAAGCACTCCCACCCACTTTAAGAAACATTTTAGTTGATCGCAGATGATGCTTACCTGTAGATTTAGTCACTTGGAGTCAACTATTAGCAATTCTTTTCCGCTGAAATGACTATAATAAGTGAATGCCTTTGGCCTGAGATCTAAGATAGGGTATGGCCCAAGGGGGGAGCTCAATACATGTTTGTTGATTGAAATAATAAAATCTTTTCCCAGTCTGGTTGTGGAGACATCATGCAGCTAGCCAGGATTGCTGAATGCTAATATGGGAGCTCAAATCCATAGGAATTTGAGAGGTTAGGAATTGTCTTCATTATTCAGGCCCTTCACTCTCAGTCTACCCTGCTGTATTTCAATAACGAGGCTTGTATGGTTGTGTGTGGAAAAGTGAACAGAGCCGAATTTGGGCAGCTGCTAAAGGTTTGATCTTCAGAATGAGTCCACATTACCCTGAGGACAGTAATCCCAAACTGAGACAAAACCTTTAAGAAAACCAGTGTTTGGGGCCAAGCAACAGGGAGCTTGGCTGACCTCGTTTTTCAGTTATTTTGAACACAATCTTTAAAATCCTGGAGGAGAGGCTGAGCACAGTGGCTCACGCCTGTAATCCCAGCACTTTGGGAGGCTGAGGCTGAGGCTGATAGATCACCTGAGTTCAGAGGCTCAAGACCAGCCTGGCCAGCATGGACAAACCCCATCTCTACTAAAATTACAAAAATTAGCTGGGCATGGTGGCAGGTGCCTGTTATCCCAGCTACTAGGGAGGCTGAGTCAGGAGAATTGCTTGAACCTGGGAGGTGGATGTTGCAGTGAGCTGAAATCGTGCCTTTGCACTCCAGCCTGTGCAACAGAGCAAGACTCTGTCTCAAAAAATAAAAAGTCCTGGAGAAGAAAAAAGGATACGTTATTTGTGTAATGACACCCAGATCTCGTTGTCCTCTTGGCTCCTAGTGATGAGGGAAAAAATATGCATCTAGGATTGACTCTTCAGTAACACCTGCAGCCAGGTATCATGACCTCCAGGTCCTCAGAGGCCCTGCCCACATGGCATGTGCCTGGTACCTCCCACACAGGTGCCTCTTGAATCCTAATAAACCTGGGATGAAATCTGGCTATGCCTCTTGTTGCTATGTGACCTTGAGTTTAAGTTTCTTAATATTTCTGAGCCTCACTTTTCTCATCTGTGAAATGGGGATTATTCCTATATCTAAGAGTTGAAAGCACACATTCTCAAACTTCAGCGTGCCCCTGAGACACGTGGTGTGCTTGTTGATAAGGCAGGTTTCTGGACCTACCTCTATGGGATTCAGACTTATTAGGTCTTGAGCGGAGTCCTGGCATCTACATCATTTATGTGAGTAATTCTCCACCCTTAGAGAAACACTTAAGACTCTAGCAGGGATTGCCACGCCTTTATTTTTATCTTGCACCAGTTATCAATAAAAAATACTGCACACACCCTTAACACAAGCACTTTTACAAACATACTATTTTCTACTAATATACGACATAGTATTTAGCAATAATAAGATGAGGTAACAATTACATATCAGAGCATTAATTTTTTTTTTCACACCAGTGGGGTATGTGAAGCCTACTCTGGAGACCTTGTTTAGAAGATCAGATGAACTGGTATATATAAAAGCTCTCTGTAAATAGACAAAACTGGGCCAATGTTTTCAAAAGCACGTAGAGCATACACAAGTGTGAACCATGCATTTATAATACAAGCCCACAATGCACTCAACACTCAGAATTTACATAAATCAGGAAGCTTTCACAGGCCACAGAGGTCCATGGTCTCTAGTCCATGGTCTCTACTCCTCAGCCAGTGTGCTGCTCTCTCTCTTTAGATGTTGATACTTAGGAAACAAAAGCCTTAAATTACCAATTTCTGAAGACACAAGATCTAGGCGCCAAAGTTTTCATGGCATCAGACATAAGCTGGGTGACAAACCATCAAAGACTGTTGAGGATTTTAAATTAAAAGTTTATAGTGGCTGGGCGTGGTGGCTCAAGCCTGTAATCCCAGCACTTTGGGAAGCAAAGGTGGATGGATCACTTGAGGTCAGGAGTTCGAGAGCAGTCAGACCAACATGGCGAAACCTGTCTCTTCTAAAAATACAAAAATTAGCCAGGGCTTGTGGTGCGTGCCTGTAATC